TCCGCACGAGCTGGTTCCCGCCCTGCCCCCTCAAGCCCAAAGGAGCTAGGGATGCCGCGGCGCCCTTTTAAAAAGCCTGTAATTCCTTGCACAGTGATTTCTCAAAGAAGCGGGTCTAAGGCTTTGGCGCACTAAGATTTATGCGGGCCGTGAGACTGTGAATTCCTACCTGGGAGGTTTAACTCGCGAGTTTCTCCCCTCCCCCGATCCCGGAGCCCCCACTCACTTGCACCACCTGGCCTCCCTGGCAAACCGGAAGTGGTAGAATTCTTCAGTTTCATTATTACTGGTTTTCATGGTTGGTGCATAATTTTGAATAATAGTGGTATTAACTCATCGTCCTTGTAGGTGTATTGATATTATCCTATCACAGAGCATTATACTTCAAGATAGGTCTTGAAATCTTCTTTTTGATAATCAATGCAACATCATTTCACTGCAATTTGTCATTCCTGGCATAGTAGACCATGTGATTATCAGATTCAAAATGGCCAATATCAGTCCGTTTCAGCTCACTAATACCTAGGATATCAAGGTTTATGCATTCCATTTCATTTTTGACAACTTTGAATTTTCTAGATTCATACTTCATACATTCCAGTTATTAATGGATTTTTTACAGCCATTTCTCCACATTTTGAATTGTGTACCATCAGCAAAGGACGGTCCAAAAAGCTTTCATTCATGCTGTCATCACTAAGTCTTCTGTGAGGAATCAGTTCTTCCCCAGTGTTAAGTGTCTTACAACGTGATGGGCTCATCGTCTGGCACTATATCGTACAATATTTTAGTGCAATTCATGACGTTTCAATGTTCAGTATTCTAGTGCTATCTGATAGTGTGGTCTACTGTTATGGCACTGTAGGATCAGCACTGGACTGTGCATCACAGGGTTGGTGGTTCAAATTCACCAGATGCTCCTTGGAAACCCTATGCAGCATTGCTATGTGTCAGAAGCAAATCGATGGCACTTAACAACAACAACATCCGATAGTGTTCACTACTGTTTATAAGACTTTCGGTGGCTAAACATTGGGAAGTAATCCACCTCTCCTTTACCTGTGTCTGTCTTAGTCTGGAAGCTCAACCTAAATCTGTCTACCATGGGTGATGCAGCTGGCATCCAAAATACCAGTGACATAGCTTCCAGCATCACAACAACATGCAAGCCACCACAGTGTGACAAACTGACAGATGAGGAGTGGTATAGTAGCTAGAAGTCCAAATCAATGGGTCAGCCATGTTGATTCCTTGTTAGGACTCTGTTTCCTGTCTCTCTCCTAGCTTCTGTTGACAGCCAGCGATCCTCTCTGTTTCTGTGCTTCTTCTCCTATAGAAGAATTTCACTGATTGAATTTGTATGCATACTACTCCAGGATGACCTCACATTAGCCTAACTGTTGATGTCTTTAAAGATGTAATTTTTAAACAATGTCATGTTCACAAGTACCAGGTTAGGATATTGACATGTATGGGGCGGGGGTGGCACAATTCAACCCATAATGAGACAAAGTGGGTCCGTATATTTACATGTGCTGTGTCTTCTGGTTGGTCAATGTCTTTTCCCTAATAAGTTCCTCAGTTCTTCCAGGTCTGCTCAGCACACTTACTAGTCTCCATCTCCATGGACTTTTTGAGCCTGGATCAGTACACTTAATGAAACAAATCAATAATGTCCTTTATGTTTATTTCCTAAAGAGTCAGGTCTGCTTTCCTGGGAAGTTTCATTTCATCCTCTGGACTTGGACATGTTGCGTCACACAGAGTACCATGTTTTCAAATCTTTCATCAGAGGGTTTCATTGTCACTAAACCTAAGTGAGGGTTTTCAGAAGAATATTTCAGATTCACAACACCTCCACTCTCTGCTTTGGCAATGATGACAGTATATGAATCCCTCCAAAATTCACAGACTAGATAATTTATTTCACCATGAACACAAATTCAGTATTGTTCACTGTGCAAACTTCCCAGTTAAGGATGCAGTAAAATTTGTGCACCACAGTTATTGTAGTTACCTACACACCCTCGGAAACCCTGTACAGGGTCGCTATGGGTCAGAACCGACTCGATGGCACTTAACAACAACAACAACAACAGTATGATGCTGTGGGATAAAGCACTGGACCTCAAGGTTGGTTTGTATTACAGGGTCAGTGGTTCAGTCTCACCAGCTGCTCTATAGAAACTCTATACAGGGTCACTATGAGTTGGAACCAACTCTAGGGCACTTAACAACAACCTGGCTATCATAACTGAAGTACCGCAGGTGAGTGGCTTGGAAACACAGGAGTCACTTTCTCACAGTTCTAGGTACAGAAGTACCAATATGGGCTTCAGGCCTGTTGATTACTTCTGTGGGCATTTCTCTTCGTTTCTGGTATATACTGGAGATTTTTTATGTTGTTTTGCTTTTAGACGGGTCCTCACATGACACTTTGAATTTCCTCTGTGCGTGTCTCTGTGTCTATCTTGCTCTTTCTATAAGTCAGAACTGATTAGATTTGGACCCAGTGTATACTTCCATGATTTGTACTTTCAAGTAGGATCACATTCACAAGTATATGCACCAGGACATCAATAGCCATTTTAGGAGGAAATAATTCAATCCATGGTACCAACTGTATCTTTTAACTTATATATTTTAGACATACCCTCCACAACAACTTGCATATTTTAGACATACCCTTCACAACAAGATAGGTGAACTTAGCTTTTTTGTGTTTAAACCCAACTTCTGAAATAATTTAGAGGATTAGGTTCCCTTGGGTGTGCTATTTATTTATTTATTTTTACTGGCTAAAATGCTGACCTCAAAATCAAGGCATTCATGGGGAGTTTGAGTATTCTGTTCGGTTGATAGAAGACCAGCACAAGCCAATACACACTCTAGAGATTCAAGAATGAAGACTTTTCATTCTAAACCAATAACCTAGACAATTTCTGGTTTCTCTATCTGAACATGGGGCTGTTTGCTTTTGTTTTGTTTTTTAATTTGAGGAGAATCTTTAAGCAATAATTGACGCAAGTTTTAAATATTTCTTTATCTGTTAAAAAGCTCTTCACAGGTGCCAACAAGTTCTGTCAAAGCTGAGACAAATGACAACATCACCATATTTACCAGGATCCTAGATGGGCTCTTGGATGGCTACGACAACCGGCTTAGACCTGGTCTTGGAGGTGAATGGACCCTTCTCATCATGAAAACCATGCTGCCCCAGAAAAAGCTGAAATCCAGCGTCAGGTCTTGTATGCTGTGACACAGGAAGTGAGGAAATTTAGTTTCCTGAGATAGCCTCCCTGCCATGATCTAGAGTCTGTGTTTATTTCCACATGAAAGAAGCTACAAGCAGGGTCTCCCTAACCTATCCCTGTACACTCCCAGTTTTTAAAAGAGGAATCTCCAACCAGTTCTTTGATTTATTAAAACTAAGAGAACCCATGTTAAAAAAAAAAAATGGTATCAGCTTCATATTTTATTTAAGACAGTTCTTTCCAGAAATTCACTGGTACATGCAGGCGCTTTTTGTACTGGGGTCATAGTATCCACATTGATTGTATGAAAGTTGATTTTTTTAAAAAAAATTTCTAATGGAATGTGCTTTCAGGACACATTTTTACAGCTTAATTTTATAGTTAAGGGTTGTCTCACTATTGTTTCATTTCTAGGCAGAAATGTTCTTGGCTTTAGCAGGTTCCAACACAGTCCATTGGAACTTGCTCTGTTAGGTAATAAGGACCCTTGTTGTTGTTAGATGCCGTCAAGTAGAACAAAACCCTGCCCAGTCCTGCACCATGCTCACAACTGTTATGCTGAAGTCAATTGTTGGTACAACTGTATCAGTTCATCTTGTTGCGGACCTTCCACCCTTTCCTGACCCTCCACTTTACCAAGCATGATGTCCTTCTCCAGGGACTTACCACTCCTACAAACATGCCTAAAGAACAAGAGATGAAGGCCTAGAATGCATCCTCACTTCAAAGGAGCATTCTGACTGTCTCTTCCAATGCACATTTGTTTGTTCTTCTTACAGTTCATGATACTCTCAATATTCTTTTGGCAACACCGTAATTCAGATTTATCAGTTCTTCTATAGTCTTCTTTATTCATTGTCCAGTTTTCACATGCATATGAGGCTAGTGAAAATACCATGGCATGGGTCAGGTGCAACTTAGACCTTTAAGTGACATCTTTGTTCTTAAATCTTTAAAGAGGTCTTTTGCAGCAGATTTACCTACTATAATTGTTGTTGTTGTAAGTGCCACTGAGTCGATTCCAACTCAGAGTGACACTGTATATGGTTTCCAAAGAGCAGCTAGTGGGTTTGAACCACTCACCTTGCGATTCACAGTTCAGTGCTGCAGCAGAATGCAATACATGGTTTAATTTCTTGACTTTTTTTGTGTGTGTGAGTGCTGATTATGGATTCAAGGCAAATGAAGTTTTTGACAACTTCAATCTTTTCTCCATTATTATGATATTATTTTTTCATTCAGTTATGAGGATTTTTGCTTTTTTTATTTTTTATTTTTAGGTGCAGTCCATACAGAAGGCTGTAATCTTTGATCTTCATCAGTAAATATTTTAAATCTTCTTTGCTTCCAGCAAGCCAAGTTGTGTCATCTACAGAATGCAGGTTGTTATTGGGTCTTCCTTTAATACTGATGACCCCTTCTTCTCACATACTCCAGCTTCTTGTATGATTTGCTCAGTCTACAAATTGAATAAGTCTAGTAACAGAATACAATTTTTGCATACATCTTTCCTTATTTTAAACCATTCAGTATCTCTTTGTTTTGTTCTAACAACTGCCACTTGGTCTATGTACAGGTTCCTCCTGAACACACTGTTCTGAAATACCCAGTCTTCTCAGTGTTTTCCATAGTTTGTTAAAATCTACAGAATCAAGTCCCTTGGCATAGTCAATAAAGAACAAGTAAACATCTTTCTGGTATTTTCTGTTTTCAGCCAAGATTCATTTAACATCAGCAATGCTATCCTGTGTTCTACATCCTCTTAGACTCTGCAATGAATTTCTGGCAGCTCCCTGTCAATGTATTGCTGCACCCATTTTTAATTATCATCAACACATTTTTACTTACATGTGATATTAATTATATTTCTTGATGATTGCTGCTTTCCACTGGGTCACTTCTCTTTGGGATGGGCAAAAATGTGATTCTTTTCCAATCAGTTGTCCAACTTTTTTGGCGTATATGAGTGAGAGACTCCAGTGCTATACCATTTTGTTGAAAGATTTCCATTTGTATTGCATCAATTCCTGGAACCCTGGTTTTTAACCAATGCCTTCAGTGCAGCTGGACTTCTTCCTTAATCAGTTCTTGATCATATACTACGTTATGAAATGGTTGAACATCAACCAGATCTTTGTGGCTCAGTGATTCCTTCATCATTCAATGTTTTGCCTTTAGAATCCTTCAACGTTGCAAGCTGAGGCTTGATTATTATTTTTTTTTCTTCAGATATTTCAGCTTGAGAACTGCTGAGTATATTCTTCCATTTTTGTTTTCTAACTCTTGGTCTTTCCACACTTCATCTTAATATTTTAGTTAGATTTTTTGAGGTGCCTTTTGAATTGCTCTTGTTCAGCTCATTTATGTCCTCATTTCTTCCAGTAGTTTTAGCTTCTTCACATTCAAAAGCAAGCCTTAGAGTCTGTTCTTACGTCTATTTTGGTCTTTTCTTTCTTTCCTGTGTTTTTTGTTTGTTTGTTTTTAAGTTTTTATTGTGGATTGAGTGATAATTTACGTGGGATAACTTAAGCTTTACACTCATCCTATCATATTTTGTTTCATTGCAATGATTACAGTCCCCTCCATGCATCATCATTCAACAGCACTTGCTTCTTCTATTCCCTCTGTTTTTGTCCCTGTGTTTTTAATGACCTTAGCTTTCATCATGTATAATGTTCTTGATGTCATCACACAACTCTTCTTATATTCAGTCATTAGTATTTAATGCATCAAATCTCTTCTTGAGGTGGTCTCCAAATTCCAGTTTGGCACTGTAGGATAAGAAGTGGACTGGTAATCACAAGGTCGGCAGTTCAAACCTACCACCCACTCTTGGAAACCCTCAAAGGCAGACAGCAATAATATTCAAGGTCATATTTTGGCTCTTGTGAAGTTGTTTTAATTGACGGTCTTTTCCATAGTCGGTCTCTGGCCTTGTTTGGACAGATGATAATGAACTACTCCATCATCTCTTCCCATAATATGTAGTTAATTTGATTCTTGTGTATTTCATCTGGTGAGGGCTGTGTGTTTAGTCACTTTTTATGTTGTTGAAAAAATAATTTACAGTGAATAAGTCACTAGTCTTGCAGAATTCTATCACTAAGTATCTTCCAACCACTAATGGTGGTGGTGGTGGTGGTTATGTGTCATGGAGACGGTTCCAACTCATAGCAACCCTGTACAGGGTTTCCGAGGCTATAAATCTTTACAGAGCAGAAAGCTTCATTTTTCTCCCACAGAACAGCTGGTAATTTCGAACTGCTGACCTTCCAACCACTGATACTTCCTCTTTATTTCCAGATTTCACATTCTAATCACCTGTAATTATCAACGCATCTTGGTAGCATGTTTGATAAATTTCAGACTGAGCAAATTGGTAGAATTCTTCTAGTACATCACCACTGGCTTTAGTGATTGGTGTGTAAATTTGAATAATAGTGGTCTTCCTTGTAGGCTTATGGATAGTATCCTATCACAGACAGCATTTTACTTCAAGATAGATCTTGAAATGCTCTTTTTGTCCATGAATGTGACATCAGTCCTCACTGACATAGTAAACCATATGATTGATTCAAAATGGCTAATGCTAGTCCATTTCAGCTTACTAATTCCTAGGATATTGATTGTTACGCATTCCCTTTCACTTTTGATGACTTCCAATTTTCCTAAATTCATACTTTGTACATTTCCGTTCTTATTGTTAATGGACTTCCAGTTGTTTAGTCTCATTTGGAGTTGTGCCCCATCAACAAATGTAGGTCCTGAAAGCTTTGCTCCATTCACATCATTAAGGGCAACTCTACTTTGAGGCGGCACTTTTTTCCCAATTATATTTTAGTGCTTTCCAACCTGAGGCACTCATCTTCAGGCACTATATCAGACAATGTTCTACTGCTATTTAGAAAGTTCTTAGTGGCCACCCATTCAGAAAGGAACTGCTTCTCCTTATTCCTAGTCTGTGTTAGTCTGAAAACTACTCTGAAACCTATCTTGCAGAGATGACCTCTGATATTTAAAATACAGTTGGTGTAGCTTTTGTTATCACAGCAACGTACAAGCCACCACAGTAAGACAAACTGATAGATAATGGAAGTAGGAACCCTTTGGCACATGTCACTGTCCTATAAAAGATTTAGCTCTTCTCTAGCTAGTATTTGGATTTTCCATGATGAGATTCATTTCACCATTTTATCAAGAACATTCCAAATGGGACAATACCTTCCTTCATCTTACATGCCCAGATATCTGCACTCCAACAGTGTTATGTATTTACATTCGATCTAGTCACTTTCAGTAACCCCCAGATGCTGAAAACATTCAGCAGCCAGTTGAATGACCTCTGTTGCTCTGTCACTTTTTCATCCAGCCACAAGTTCTGTGTCCTTCCTGAGCTGGACACCAAAGATTCAATAGGAGAACATGGGAGGAGGAACAGGCAGGCATGAAAACCAACAAGCCTTATTTAAACCAATGCACACAGTCAGACATGCACCATGCAAATATGGTATTGCGGCACTTAGGGGGTCCTTTGGACCACAACAATACTGTTATACAATTTGGGTCTTTAGTGTGGGCACTCAGTGAATGTTTTCAGTTGCTGCTACTCATTTTGAATAATGCACTTTGAATATGGACCCTGCATGAGACCAGAAGGTTTTTCATGGCCCTGAGAGTTGCTAGGTAACACACGATTTTTCTACAATATTATTAACATTTTATGGCTTTTTATATTTAAAACAATTTTTAAATTCATGCAACATACAAAACATAACATAAAGGCAAGTATATCTTTTTTCCCCCAAAACATAATCAACACTTTTTTGTGTATCCTTTCCCTAAGATGACACAGTACCAACAATTTTGATTGGGGTTTTTATTAGAGATGCTTTCTCTTTGTGAATTGTGGATGCCTTCTAAAGCTTCTATTTATGGGAGTACACAATGAGGTGTAGTTAATACTGTTCTGAGTTTGTAGATGAGAAACTGAAACAGAAGTGTTTAGGAACATTCTTCAGAGTCATGGGACTTAAACCATGTTTGATTAAGGCCACTCCTAGAGAGCGCAGAGGTCTAATGAAGGCCACACAGTTTCCTTATGTTATGGGCATTTTACTTCATGTTACAACATGGAATCATTGATTTCATGTGGTATTTGCTAGCTTGTCCAGATATACTCAGGAATTATAGTAAAGTCCTCTGGATGCAAGAGTGAGCATGCTTTCAGAATGAAAACGTAATGCCTAAAGTGTGTTCATTGTGTGCAGTGTGACTGACCAGCATACTGTGTCTGTATTTCAGAGCGAATCACTAAGGTGAGGACTGACATTTATGTCACCAGCTTTGGCCCCGTGTCTGACACAGAAATGGTAAGTACCAGGACTGACCTGACACCATCAACCTGCATAAACAGTGAAAAGCTTCACCAGGGGCCTCTTCCACTCACTGTAATTAGCATCTCCCATTGCTTTAGGAATATACCATAGATGTGTTTTTCCGACAAAGCTGGAAAGATGAAAGACTGCAGTTCAAAGGGCCAATGCAACGCCTTCCTCTCAATAACCTGCTTGCCAGCAAAATTTGGACCCCAGACACGTTCTTCCACAATGGGAAGAAGTCTATTGCACACAACATGACAACACCCAACAAGCTCTTGCGGCTGGAGGACGATGGCACCCTACTCTACACCATGCGGTAATGTGAAGAGGGTGGGCTCAGTGTGTCCTGCTGAGTTCCAGGGGCCGGAGCCCAGGGCTAAGCAGGCACACAACGCAGGCAGCAGAGACCGGCTGCCATAAGCAGGCGAGATTTGGTTTGGGGGTTTGGTCAAGGGGAACAGTAGAGATGGCAGTGTATTTTTTTTTTTTTTTTTTACCTTTTGACCGTCTTGTACCAATGTAGGTTAGTTCTCCGGCTTACTAGGGGTTCAAAGATTTTGCTGTTTCTGTTTGTTTGGTTCAAGGTTAAGAACATCTTTGGGATTGTGGTCCAGCTTATGCAGCAGGGCAATTTCATTTTATTAATTTATCTTAGGAAAGTTCTCTTTGTTGCAGTTTTACAATCTTGAATTTTTAAAAAACCCATTTGTGGTATGCCTTTTTTCAAGCATTCCAATGATAAATTTTACTATTTTCACTTTAAATAATCATTGTTTTTGTCGTTGTTAAGTGCTGTTGACTTGGTTCTGATCCATAGGAACCCTGTACAGGGTTTCCGAGGAGTTGCTGGTAAATTTGAACTGCTAACCTTGCGGTTCAAATTGATCTTGTGGTCTAGTGCTTATCCTACAGTGCCACACCAGTACTCCAATTAAATGATCATTAATTGGTATGGTGCTATGGGTTAATGCACTGGACTGCAAAGTCAGTTTGAACCACAAGGTTGATGGTTCAAGCTCACCAGCCACTCCTCGTGAACTCTATACAGGGTCGCTGTGAGTCAGAACCAACTCAACAGCACTTAACAACAACCATCATCTTTTATTCTGAATTACATATTGCCTCTGAGTAAATCAATACATTGTCCAGTGAGATGTCTCCTCTATAGATTTCAGAGTTTCTGTGGACCTTAAGATTTAAAAGCATGCATGCATTTGTGTAAAGTTGACGTTATTGGAAGGCTGAAAGGAAGTCCTGGGCTGTTGTTGTTTGTTTGTTATTGTTGAGTGGATTCAGACTCAACACAAGTAACCACTTGTGCTCTGAGGAGACCCATACTTTACAGGCTTTTCAATCCTTTGATATTTTAGAAGATGGTCACCGGGCCTTACTTCCAAGGTGTCTCTGGATGAGAACTACTAGCAAACTTTTGGCTAATAGTTAAGTGCTTAGCTCACCACCAAAACACAGGCAGAGACCTGAATTTAATGCCATCTGATCAGTTGTCTGGGAAAACAGCATGATAGCTTGACAGATTGCTTGACCCCAGGTTGCATCATAAAGGGTTGGGTGGTGCTGGTTACATTCCATGGAGTCGGTTCTGACTCATAGCAACCCTTAGAGGGATTCCGAGGTTGTAAATCTTTACAAAAGCAGAAAGCCTCATCTTTCTCCTGTGAAACTACTGGTAGTTTCAAACTATTGACTTTGAGGTTAACAGCCTGACTCATAACCATTACACTACCAGAGCTCCTTAAAGAATTGGGTTGTTGTTGTTAAGTACTGTGGAGTCAGTCCCAACTCATAGTGACCCTGCACAGGGTTTCCTAGGCTGTAAATCTTTATGGGAGCAGAACGCCTCATCTTTCTCCCGCGGAACCACTGATAGTTTCGAACTGCTGACCTTGAGGTTAACAACCTGATTTGTAACCACTACGCTACCAGGAATAATCAAATGTGACGTTGGAAGAACACTTGGTTAGCCTGCCATGTGCCTGGGTTTTATTCATAGAATAAAAGTACTCCCAGGCCCCATCGCATTTTTATCCCCGATTCATTTCTGGTTCTTATTAAGGAGCTCTGGTAGCATAGTGGTTACGATTCAGGCTGCGAATCGCAAGCTCAGCAGTTCGAAACTATCAGCTGTTCCGCGGGAGAAAGATGTTCTGCTCCCGTACAGATTTACAGCCTTGGAAACCCTGTGCAGGGTCGCTATGAGTCAGAACTGACTCCACGGCACATAACAACAACCACATTCCTGAGGGAATACAGTTAGGTCTGAAGTCTAAAAAATATATCATAAAACTTATAGCTTCACTTTAGGAGGACCATGGGATGTCTGTCACATGCTCTGTTGATACTTACAAGTGGCTGTGAGTGTGGCCCACTATTTCAGAATAAGATTCAGAACTATCAGGGGATCTGTGCAGGTCACACAGCTGGGAAGAAGAGCAGCAGGAAGTTGAATGTCAGTCAGAGCACTTTCTGTGTTTAATACACCACGGGTGCAAATGTGAAGGATGAAGCACTATCAGACATAGATAAGCAGTCCCTAGATTACAAGCAAGTTCTATTTCTAAATCTGTCTTCTAGTCAAATTTGAACTTAAGTCTGAATAGTTTTATACATTTGTCTTAATATATGCTATAATTGTTACTGTTGTTAAGTGCCATCAAGTCAGTTCCGATTCATAGCAACCCTGAACAGAGTTTCTAAGGAGCAGCTGGTGAGTTTGAACTGCAGACCACGTGGTTTGCAATCCAGTGCTTATCCTATAGCATCACACCAGTAGTCCATATGCTATATATGCACCTTTATATGCATAAAAAACCAAACACTTCCAGATACTCAAAAACATCTTTAACATAATGCAGTAATAATAATAATAATAATGATGTTTTAATTTATATTGCAAAATCGCACTTGTTTGTTATTCCAAGCCATTGTATGTACCTCAAATTTTTAATACTCTAGGATTTACAAGGGTTGGTTTGTAACTCTGGGTTTTACATCAGTTGGACTTTCCTAACCCCGAAACGTGACCTTGGCATAACCATTATCAAAATGCCAGGCACAGGAGGAAGCCAGCGAGAACCAGAGTAAGTTGTCAACAGTAATTAGCAATTGTTTATGCAGAGAAAGTCTGCTAATAAGCTGCAAAGTTGATATTGAACCTCTTTTAGTCAATACATTTAAAAAATGAAAATAGTTCCACTTGGAAGTGTTATGTATTAAAATGTGATTACATTTTTCCTTATTGATTTAACAAAGATGGTGAACTAGTGAGAATACTAGTTACAAGATGAGTGACATCTTCCATCCCTCTCCCACATTGAGCGCTTCAGGAGTAGAGCCTGTCTGTGCTGTGGTTGGGCCTTGTAACACTGGTGACATACTTTAATTCAATAAGTCCCGTGCAGAACGTGTCTTAAGAAAATGATTAGGAAGATGGACTAAGCTAGTGCTCCTTGGAGGCCAGGATGGCCAAGCTTTGTCTCTCATACTTTGGACATATTGTCAGGAAGGACCAGTCACTGGGGAAAGATATCATGTTTGGTAAGGTGAAGGGCCAGAGAAAAAGAGGAAGACCCCCAACGAGATGGATTGGCCAAGTAGCAGCATTGATGGACTCAAGCGTGGCAACAATAGTGAGGTTGGCCCAGGATCGGGCAGTGTTTCGTTCTGCTGTGCATAAGGTCACTGAGTTGGTACCAACTTGATGGCACCTAACAACAACAACAAATATGTACAAAAATGCCATTATAGCAAGCATTAGAAAGAATATAAAATATAAAATTAGGTAAAAGTTTCAAATAAAACAGCTATATATTTTGAATTTTTCTCCCTTTTTTTTTTATTTATGACTTTGTTGTTGCTGTTGTTAAGTGTGTTCAAGTCAGTTCTGACCCATAAGAACCTGAATAGGTTTTCCAGGGAGCAGTTGGTGAGCTTGAACTCTGACCTTGCAGTTCAAAGTGACTCTAGACTTAAATAAAAAGATGAAATATATGAGTACAAGAAACTTGGATTTGTGTAATATACTTTATTATTAATGTGAACTGGGTGATAGTTTACATGGGAGAACGTGGCTATCTTGTTCAATGAAACAATCATTTCATTGCAATAATTACAGTCCCCTCCATGCATCAGCATTCAGTAGTATTTGCTTCCATTCCCACTGTTTGGTGTTTTTGCTTTTTGTTTTTTTTCGGGGAGTGTATACAAAAACACTCAGGAATATATAACAATTTAAACAATCAAAGGGCACATTCTGCAATCCTGCCTCCTGGCTGCCAGCACTTAGTTCTTCTCACACATAAGTCTGGAAATGATGGGGAAAAAAATGAACTTCTAAAGTAACTTCATAGAGATTATGAGAGTACATGGATAGGATTTATTTATCTTCATTCTTCACCATGTTCCAGAAATCATTTAAAGTAACATTCAAAGAGACACAATGGAGCAAGATAGAATTCTTTAATTAAGTGAATCAAAGGAGACCAAGGGAAACCAAGCCATTGGTGGCATTTGCTTCTCAAACATCTGCCACATAGTCTCTTGCTCTTGTCTAGGACCCATCTGAAATTTCAGTTCTGAAGAGCTTTCTATTAGCTAGTAGGTGGTCTCTTTTAGCATGAAAACAAAAGTCTACCAACCACTCAGGAGAAGCCCAGCTCTTCTTGATTCCAAAGAGAGAAACAGACATTTTCCTTTGATTCTCAAGGGAGGACAGCTTATGAAGTACTGAGCAGTTTCCTCTATGATGAATGTTGGTAGACAAAGCTGTCCATAGAATTGTACATCAGACAACTGGAAGGTTCCACTGTCCCCTCAGAGGGAAGCTCAGCCTAGCAGTCCTGCCTGGGATCTTTCTTTGCTCAAGTACAAGTACAGAGTCAAGAGATTAGACTCTGCCAGACATCATCTGTTATATTCTGTACAGAATACAAAGTTGTTGTTATACAAATTGGTTCCAACTTACAGCAGTAAAACACAGTCCGGTCACGCACCATCCTCATGATTGTTATGTTTGAACCCATAGATGCTGCTACTGTGTTAGTTCATCTCACTTGGGGTCTTCCTCTCCTCTGTTGACCCTCCACCTTACCAAGCATAATGTCTTTCTCAAGGGACTTGTCCCTCCTGACAACATGGAAATGACAAAGTCTCACCATTCTAGGGAACATTCTAATGTCATACTCCTTCCAAAACAGATTTGTTCATTCTTCTGGCAGTCCATGTTACTTTTAATATTCTTCACAACAACAATTCTTCTCTGATGTTCCTTTTTCATTATCCAGCTTCCACGTGATTTTG